AGCAAAAAGAAAAAGAAACAAAGCAAAAAAGGGGAGAAAAAGAAGAGAGTCGGACCTGCTTCTGAGTGAATACCTGCGGCGGATGAGCACCTCGCCCTCGGCTGTGGCTGACAACGGCGTCGGGCGGAAGGACCCTCCCCCGGATCTCTCCAAGACGTACGATGAGTCCCCCGTCGCCAGGTGCCATCCAAGAGCTACCTCGGCTCCCTCCTCTCCAAGCTGGCCGCGGAGTGTGGGATGACGGTGATGACCCCGACCGAGAGGGTTTTCGCCACCATCGTCTACCTCGTCATCATCGCCGCCGTCGTCGGTGTTCCGGCCAGCGTGTTGTACAATTTGTACCGAGTATTCATGTCTTAGGAGTGCCGCGCGAACGAACGAATGAAAGGACGGACGCGCAATTACAAAGCAGGAAAAAATAAAAAAAAACGACTTGCTCGCTCAGGTGTGTGTGTGTGTGTGTGCGGGTATTTGCGGCAATTTGAAACCTCACTGCGTACCGAATCACATTTTTTCCCTTCTTCCCTTTCTGTTTTTGTTTCTGGACGCTCATGAGTTGTTAGCTAGGGCCTTTGTGGTGGGTTTTGGTAGGGGGTTGTTTTTGTTGGCGGCTGCTAAGGAGAGAGAAAGGGCCTCTGGACTGAGGGATGCCGTTGGTGTCGACCGGGTTTTTCTTCATGCCTGGGCTTGAAGGGTGACCTTTTTTTTTGCCGATTCGCTTCTTTTTTTTTTTTTTGAAGTTTTGTTTTGCGTGCTTGCCGCCGTGCCTTCCACTCTCCCCGCAGTGGCGCGTTGGATTGATGTACCAGCCGATTATGCGGGAGGAGCTGCAGGCGCGCCTGCCCAACTTTGACCCGGCGCGGGATCCCCAAGTGGGGGAATGGGTGCTCGTCCGCCCGTCCCGCCGCGCCGCCCTTGTGCGCCCGTTAGCGCGGCTGGCGGCGGACCGAGCACTGCGGCCCGTCTACCCGTTCCTGGCGGGCGGCCCTCCTGCCGGCGCGCCGTCCTCGGCGTCGCCGGCGGCAGCGGCGGAGCCCGCGGCGACCGCCCACGTGGATCCCCGCCACATCTTTCCGGCCTTGGACGAGGTGTGCCGCAAGTATCGCCGCCGTCGCCTGCAAACTGTCGCCGCCGTCGGCAGCGAGAAGGACGAGGCGAATATCCAAAGCGACGGCGATGAAGAGGAGGATGAGACCACGCTTTACTTAAATCCGCGAGCTTTACTGTTAACACCATGCGCACCGGCGGTGTTTGGTGGCTCCGACTTTATCGAGGGGCTGGACAAAGCCACCGGCCGTGTGGTGTTTCTAAACTGGAAAACAGGGGAGATGCGCACGGATAGCTTGGCCCTACAGCCAAGACCAACACCGGAGTGGGCCGAGGAGGTGGTGGAAAAGGCAATGAAGGAATGGGAGGATTGGCAGCGGCGGGACAGGAACGCGTTGCAATCGCGGGAAACAGACTGTGAGGCACCACCGTTTCGGAAGGCGCGAACCGAGTGAGACGGTGTTTCCTCTTTTTGTGTGTGTGGGGGGGAGGGAGGCTTGCGTGACGAGCGGTGTTGCGGCTTGGAGAGAAGCCGTCGGCCCGCGGCACGTTTGAAGGCGAAATAAAAATGAAGGCCTCTTGCTCGTTTGCTTTTCTTTTTTATTTCTGCCTTATTTCTGCCTTCCCTGCTAGCGGGGAGAAGGAGCGGAGCGGCACTCGTCGAGTGGCTGATAAGCAGGAGCAGCTCGCAGCGCGGCAATGCGGCGCTCACTTTTCCGTCGGGCTGCCGCCGCAAAGCCCGCGCAGAGCCTGACCCACCTGGAAATCTTCACACAGCTCCAGCTGGGCATCCACCCCCCGCTGAGCGCGCAGCGCCAGTTTATTCAGCAGCACTTTGAGGAAGAAATGGACCGCCGGGGCATTACAGAGGCCAAGCTGTTGGCGATGGAGGGGCGCCTCTGCACGCGCCTGCTCCGTCAGCTGCTGTTTGAGCGGTACCTCTCCGTGCCGTTTCGCCTCTTCACATTTGACTTGGAGTTTTCGGGCCCCCCCGTGTTCGGGCCGGACGGCCCCACGGAGGACATCATCGAATTCGGCTTCTACTCTCCCGCGCACGACGCAGCGTCCTCCTTCCTGGTGAGGCCCACCAGCGGCCGCCGTGTCTCGAGTGAGGTCACCGCGCTGACCGGGATTACCCCGGCGATGCTGGAGGAGGAGGGGCTGCCGTTTCAGGAGGCGTGGCAGCGGGTGCTGGAGGTCCTCGCGACTCCGGAGCCGCAGGAGCTCCCCGGCGCAGAGCACCGGCTGCTCGCGCTGAGCCACGGCGGCAAGCTGGCCGACGTCTCCCTCATCAAGTGGACGCTGGAGGCGCACGGCCTGGAGCTCCCCCCCGCGTTGGTCTTTGGCGACACCTTCCACCTCATCCGCGACGCCCACCGCCGCCGCCCCGTGACGCCGGACAAGCACCCGCCCTCGTGGGGTTTAGAGGATCTCGTGCAGTGGCTAAAGATCCCGCCCACGCTCCCGGCGCACCGCGCCGGCAACGACGCGAAGATGACGTGGGACGCGCTGTACCACACGCTCGAACGCTACGGCGACGAGGACCTCACGCCGCGTGAGCAGCTGGTCTCGCGCTTCTTCGACGAGGAGGCGAGAGCGGCCATGAGTCAATGCAGCCAACGGCAGTACCTGGACGCTGACGGCACGCTGGCGACGGAAGGCGCGAACGCGGAGACCGCCATGAGCAACTCGCTCGACCTCGACTTTGATGACATTTTTGCCCCCGGCGGAAAGCAGCGAGGTGCGGCTGCCGCCGCGGACGCGCCGACGGGGGCGGATGCGGCAGACGCCGAAGAAGGCGAGGGAGAAGGGGCAGAGGCCGGGCGCCGTGCACGGGAACTGGAGCAGCACCCCCACGTGCAGGAATTTGTGATTTAACGCCTCCAAAGAGGGGGTGAGGAACGAAGAAGAAGCTCGCACGCTCTTTCCCTCCTTCACTCAGTCTTTCTCCCCCCATCAACACGTGTGTGCTTGTCCCTGCGGCTTGCATCTCCGCTGAGTGGTGTGGTTGACTTCCTCCTCTTCATTGCCGCGCGCCACTTCTTTGGATACACACATGCACATACACATACGCACACAAATAAAAACTCTGTAGTGAGGGGCATTGCACGCGTGGGCGGTGAGAGTTCCTAAAGTCTAGTCGCTATAGAAGTTAGCTAGCAGCCAGGCGAAGAGGGAAGAGAGGAAAACAAATCAAAAGCAGAACGAGAGGTTCAGCAACGATAGAGTGTGCCTGTTTCTCGTATTGAACCCACGCAGCCGAGAGGGCACGTGGAAAGCAGCAAGGCAGAAGGGAGGGAAAAAGCGGCGAAGGCATCGCACGCTACACTGCGTACACGTAAGTACAGAGAGGGCACGCGAAGGCGAGCGAGGAACGAGCAAAACCACTGGAAATTCGTAGCTACGACAAAGTCCTAGCTGCTTTTCTTTTTTCTTTTTATTGCTGCGTAGTGGTCGGCGTGGAGGCGTATCCATGTCCTTCCGGGAAGTGCGCTCATTTGTGGAGACGATGCGGCTCCTGGGGTACCCCAACCTCATCAGCATGGAGTCCTTCCGCACCCCCAACGTGGTTCTGGTGGCCGACTGCCTGTTTTGGCTTATCAAGCGCTACGAGCCCTCGGCAGAGATTGTGTACGAGATTGAACGCGAGGGCGACCGCATCTTCTTCTTCAAGCAAATCTGCGAGGTTGCTCTGGCAAAGGGACGCGTCAAGCTGAACATCAAGAAGCTCTACCAGTCCGACGGGAATGCGGTGCAGGAGATGCTGGTGTTGGCCAGCGTGCTCAAGAGGGCGATGGCCGCCACCGGGGCGGAGGAGGTGGACTACACCGGCGTGCAGCAGATGGTGGCGCAAAAGAACGTGCAGGACGCCAAGCGTGTGCAGCAGCTCTGCAGCGACCTCACAAGCGACGGCAGTGAGCTCTTTTTCCTCATCGAGGAGGAGATCGCGCAGCGGGGCGAGCGGCAGCGGGTGCTGTCGCGGGCGACAGAAGTGGGCGAGTTTGAGCGACGCCTGCGCGATGTCCTCCTCAGCGTCGGCAAACAAATAGAACAGTTGCAGACTAGCATCACCAACCTGGGGGCGGATGAGACGACGCTGGAGCAAAAGATTGAGAGCAAAAAGACCCAATTAGAGCGGGCACAGAAGCGGTTGAAGTCGCTCATGGCCGTGCGCCCCGCTTTCATGGAGGAGTACGAGAAGCATGAGGGGGAGCTGCAGTCGCAGTTCGTCGTCTACCTTGAGCAGTATCGCAACCTGGAGTACCTGGAGTATGAGCTGGCCAAGTTCAACGCCGCGGAGGACGCGGTGCTAGAGGAGCATGAGACGCGGCTGCGCGTTATGCGTGAGCGGCTGCGGAAGGAGGAGCTCAGCGCGATTCGCGGCGAGGCCGGCCACAAGCGTGTTGCGGCCCGCCCAGGCGAGGAGTTCAACCCCTTCACGAAAAAGCCGCAGCCGGGCGTCGGCGGCGGCAGGCTGGAGGACGGGGCGGAGGCTTCCGCGGCGGGCCGCGGGCGCGGTGCCGCGGGCGACCGCAGCAGCGAGAGCGGCTCTAGCAAAGGCTCTCGCGGGGAGGACCCGCCGCGGCCGCATGCCGCGCTCGGGCGCCCGCGGCAGTCGCCTTTGGCCTCCGCGGAGGCGCCGACGCGGCGCAACGGCGATGGCGGCGGCAGAAACGGCGTCATGGGCCCCGAACCCCGTCAGGCGGAGATGATGTCGTCGGATATGCGGAAGGTGCACGCGGTGACGCCCGGCTCCTCCACGGATTACGCCGCCATCGCCCTCGCGCGCGGCCCGGACACAAGCGCCGACGAGGGCGACGAGAGCGACGAGAGCGAGAGCGATTTATCGGAGGACGACAGCGTCAGCGAGTCGGACTCCGACATCGACACCTCCGACGTCAGCACCGACAGCGGCGACACGGACAACGGCAGCAGCATATGAGCCTTCGCGGCCGTTGCCCTCCCCCTCCCCACCGACGCGGGCCGCTTAACGTGCAGTGGGCCTGCCTGCGTCTATGCGGCGCGTTGAAAACAACAGCAGGGGACACACACACACACACACACACACACGTAGGAATGCAAGGATTTCTTTTTGCAAACGATGGAGGGCACGACGCTGCGCGGGTTTATATAAGCGGCGTGCACATATATATATATATATATATGTATATGTGTCATTTCCGAGTTATATGGGTCCGCTATATATGTAATTGGTGTGTGTATGTTTTTTGTTGTTGTTGCTTTTTCTGTTGTTTATTTGTGCCTTCCATCTTTGTTTTCCACCGCCTCCACACCCCGCTACCGTGTGCGTTGCGCTGAGCCCTCGTTGAGGCGTGTGGTGGAAGCCGCAAGCCGCCCCTCCGCCCCGCACCTATTCTACGCCATTCACCATCGCGTTTGCAAAGCGCCGCCGTGTGTGTATGTGTGTGTGTGTGTGTTATTTGCTGTTGCCGAGGCCGCCGTGCGGAAGACGCGCGAGAGGGAGGACGCCGCTGCCGCCGAAGCAAGTAGGAAATACGGTGCCGCAGGAAGAGAGGGAGGAGAAAAGAAGCAGAAAAGGAAAAAGCGGGAGTGCGGGGAGTTCACTCCGCGGCGTATCATGTGCCCCTCCGCACGCGATGCTTTAGAGAAGGGCAAGACGGCGGGGAGGTGTTTGTTTGTTTGTTTGTTTGTTTCTCTGCGTCTCTGGGATCCTCCCGCCGCGTGTGTTTGTGTCTTTCGCCTCCCTCGCGTTGCGGCTGCCGTGTTGAGTGCCGCCGCCGCTGCTCCGCCGCCCACTTCAACTCCCCCCGCTTGCCTCGACGGACGACGTAAACGCGCACACACGCAAAAAAAAAAAAGGAAAAAAACCACAAACCAAAAAAGGAGTAACTTTAAGTTAAAAAAAACAAAAAACAAAAGGAACGCAGACGCGGCGTAAGGGCAACTGTGCGAGATGCAGGCTCCATCGACATCGGACTGCGTGGCCACCTTCAAGCTCATTCTGGTCGGCGACGGCGGGACGGGGAAGACGACGTTTGTGAAGCGGCACCTGACGGGGGAGTTTGAGAAGCGCTACGTGGCGACCGTCGGCGTGGACGTGCACCCGCTGACCTTCCACACCAACCGCGGCAAGATCTGCTTCAACTGCTGGGACACCGCCGGGCAGGAGAAGTTTGGCGGGCTGCGGGACGGCTACTACATCGAGGGGCAGTGCGCGATCATCATGTTCGACGTGACGAGCCGCAACACGTACAAGAACGTGCCCAACTGGCACCGCGACATCACGCGGGTGTGCGACAACATCCCCATCGTGCTCGTAGGCAACAAAGTAGACTGCGCGGACCGCCAGGTGAAGGCGAAGATGATCACGTTCCACCGCAAGAAGGGGCTGCAGTACTACGACATCTCCGCCAAGTCGAACTACAACTTTGAGAAGCCGTTCCTGTGGCTGGCGAAGAAGCTGGCGAACGACCCCAACCTGACGCTCGTGGAGGCGCCGATGCTCGACCCCAACGTGCAGCCCCTCTCGGCAGAGCAGCTCCAGGCCCTGCAGGAGGAGGCGCGCGCGGTCGAAAACGCGCCGTTGCCTATGGGCGACGACGAGTAAAGCCCCCGCCCGTAAAAACTAAATAAATACCGCGGCGGTCGACGGGCGCGGGGTGGAAGGGGGCGAAGCGGAAAAGTTTTGGCGGCGGGCGCGACCTCTTCCCCCCTCCCCCCGCGAGGGCGTACGGCGCCGGATCGACCAAAGCGAGCAGGTGGCGGCGGAGACGCGGAGGAGGCGAAGCAAAAAGAGAGAGGGAAAAACAACAACAAGAACACACACACACACACACACACACAAAACAAATAACAAAAAGAAAAAAGAAAAAGGAAAAGGACAGAGCGGAGAAAACATAAAATTACGCAGCTTCCCCACCCCCCCAAACGAAGAAGGAGGATGGAAGGTAAGGAATAAGGAAAAAAGAAAGAGCAGGAAAAATAAAAAAAAAGAAAAATAAAACAGAGAGGCCAAGAGGAGGGCACAAGAAGTAATTGAGTTCTCTAAAGGGAGTTAAAGAGGAATTATTTGGGCGTGTTCGTCGTGTCAACGCACACCCACGCAGGTGCACGCATGCCTGCAATGTGCGCTTATTTGTTTCTGCGGATGTGCGCCTGCATCCGCGTGCGTGCGTGCGTGAGTGTGAGTGTGTGTGTGTGTGCTTCCGGGCGGACAGGGAGCGGGATAGAGCGAGAGAAATAGAGAGAGAGAGAGTGAGAGAGAGAGACAGAGAGAGCGCCCACGCAAAGGCAGCGGTGAGTGCGGCTGGGGGTGGGGTGCATACGCAGGCACCGCATGACACGTTAGAGGCCTCCCCCTGCAAGGGCGGTGCCTTCCTTCTCCTCCCCCCCCACTCTCTCTCTTTGTTCTCTTTTTTGTTTTGTTTTCTGCTCCCGCTGCGTGCAACTGTCTGTGGGATGAAGTCCTCCCTCCCTCCTTCCTCCCAATCATCGGCGGCGCGGGCGTTTATTTATTATCATTATATATATATTTTTTTGTGCGTGTCTGTATTCCAACCACACACACACACAACACGCGTGCACGCATTTAGACGTAATTGAGGCGCGCTGCGGTGCGGGGTGGCGCGGGGGCGGGAGCGGGGAGGGAAAGCCCACACACGCACAGACACAAAGAGCAATGAACAAATAACACCGAAGGGAGAGGGGGGAAAAAAGAAAAAAAGATGTGACAGAGGTGGAGTTAAGGCAAACAGATAAAGAGAAAAGCGAGGAAAAAGGGAGGTTGCCACGCGAGCAGCCGAGTTATGGCGAGTGAGGTGGAGGAGGAGACTACTTTAAAAGAGCCGCCCCCCTCCCCCCGGCGCGCACACACACACACACACCACTGCCCGTCGTCCTCGGCAGCGTTCACCAGAAGAAAACAGGAGCGACAGGGAGTTTCTTTTTCTTTTCTTGTACTGTGACATGCGTGGGGGTGTTGGTTGGTTGGTTGGTGCTTCTCGTTTCTCGCAGATATATATATATATATATACTTCTCTTGTTTGGCTTATCCTCTGTGTGCGGGTTCCTTTCCTGTCGCTCTCCCCGCACTGCATGCTTTGGCCGCTCCCTCCTCCCGCCTCCCGCGCCGCGGCCCGCTGCCTCTGCCACGTATCCGCCTTCTTCCTCTTTTTGTTTCTTTGTTTCTCTTTTTTTCCCCCTGCTTCTGCGCGTGGCGCCTCCACTGTGCACGCGCCTTTTGCGCGCAGCCGAACCTCCACTACTTCATGACGGAGGCGTTGAGTGGCGGGGGCGACGAGGTGCCGCATCGGCGCGCCGCCCTCTCGCTGCGCCGCACCCACCAGCGGTTTCTCCTGCGCGAACAGCAGTTCACGCAGCAGTACGCGGCGATGTACCAGTGCAGAGAAGAGGCGCTGGGGCCGCGTGCACTTCGCGCCATCCGCGCCAAGGCGGGCGCTGGCGTCCCTGCCGGGGTCACCGCCCCGCCGGTTGCCCGCGTGCTGAACCTCGTCCCGGGGCAACGTGCGTTGTGTGTGGGGGTGATCTACAAGCAGATGCGGCTGCTCCCACGCTTCCTCGACGAGTACCAAAAGGAGCTCATCCGCATTGATGCTGGCGAGGATGACGAAGGCGAGGATGACGCCGCGGCCGCTCTCTGCGCCGCGCCTTCCCCCGTCGCTGGGGTAGAGGAGGAGCAGGGGGGTGGCGGCGACGCAACTGCCGAGGGGAGCGGGGGCCGCGGCGGGCCTGGGCAGCGGCCCCTCTCGCTCTGCACCCCGACGGACGAGGTATACATGGAGGACAGCAGCGGCCGCGTGCTACTCGAGGGGGTTCCGGTGGATTTGCTTTGCACGGGACTTGTGCTGGGCGTGGACGGGACGCTGAGGGAGAACGGGCAGCTTTCGGTGCACAGCTACGCCTTTACGGATTTGCGGGAGATTTACGTCCCGCGGCTGCTCCCCAGCGCCGCCCCGCTTCCGCCGTGCTACGTGGGGATTGTCTGCGGCCTGGGGCTGGGCAGCCCGCAGGCGCCGGACGCGGCAGGGGCCCTGGGCCGCACGATGGTGGAGCTGCTCGTGGATTACTTGTCCGGCCACGTCGGCGACGACGCGGTGGTGGCGCAGGCCTCCCGCATTGCCCGGCTGGTGGTGGCGGGCAACAGCATCGCCCCCACCGACGAGCTGCGGCTGAAGCGAAAGGTGAAGTTGGACCCCGCCGACCACACGCGCCTCAGCGACGACCGGCAGGAGGGCGACAGCGTCACCTCCGCGACGCTGATGGGCGAACTCGACGCCGTCCTCGCACGCCTCGCCGACACCGTCGAGCTAGACCTGATGCCCGGCGACCAGGACATGACGAACGCCTTCCAGCCGCAGCAGCCGCTCCACCCGCTGCTGCTCCCCGAGGCCGCGCGCCGCTCCTCGCTGAAGCTTGTCACGAACCCCTACGAGTTCCACGCCTTTCCTGGCGAAGCCGCCGCCGCGACAACGAAAGCGGAGGGCGGCACGATATTTTTCGTTTGCGCCGGCAGCAACTTGAATGACGTCAGTCGTGAGACGCGGTACCGCACCTCCCTGGACGCGATGACCATGCTGCTCCGCTGCGGCTGCGCCTGCCCGACGGCCCCCAACACTCTGTTCAGTTACCCCTTCAAGGTGTCCGACCCGTTTGTGTTTCCGAGTGCCCCGCACTGTTTTGTTTGCTGCGACCAGCCGGAGATGCAGACGCGGTGGGTGCCGCTCGAGAGCTTCGACCCGGCGCGGGGCGAGAGCACAAACGAAGAGGCCCCCGAAGACGAGAGCGCGGGGGTGCGACTCATCTGTGTGCCACCGTTCAGCCAAACAGGGACGCTGGTGCTCGTGGACGTGAACTCGCCGCGGCTGGACACGATCGTCGTTAATTTTGCCTCCGCCTCGCAGGTGGCGTCGTAATGCGTGGACGCCTGCGCCCATAGATACACAGGTAAGGGTAAGAAGCGGCACGGAGAAGGAGGGGAGCAAGCAGGCAAGGAAGGACGGAAGTCAGGGATCATTGGTTCTTGCGGAAGCAGTCAAGGCGAGGCCGCCTGAACTCTTCCTGGGGGGAAGACCGACGCCGCCCCCCTTCCTCCCTCCTCTCCCTTTCTCTCTGAAGCGCACGGCAGTTATTGGGGTCCTGTACGCATGCGGTTGTCTTTCCTTCCCTCCGTTGCTTCGCATATTCTCTCTTTTTTTTTTCCTCTCTCTCAGTGTGTGTGAGTGGCGCAACTGCGCAGGTAGCGTGCATGGCCACCGAGGACGACGCCACCCCCGGCATCATCGCCCCCGGCCCGGAGCTGCGGGCAAAGATTGAGAAGTCGGCCGCCAGCCTCGCAAAGCGCGACAAGCGCAAGGCGGAGGAGATGATGGCCAAAGTCCTCGCCAGTCCGAAGCGAGAGGAGTTTCTCTACTTTGAGATGACCCACGTGTTTTACCCCTTTTTCCTGCAGCGGCTGAACGAGTACCGCGCCCATCCCGAGCTCATTCCCACCGACGAGAAGAAGGAGCAGGCGCAGGGCACGGCGGCCGCCGCCGCAGTGACAGCGACAACGACGATCAAGGCGGGAGGCATTGTGCGACGCGAGGGCGGCACGGCGGCGCGCCACGACCCAAAACGCGATGAGGCGCTGCGGCAGGCGGAGGTGGAGGCGCAGCGCTACTTGGAGGACCCATTTCCCAACCGCTACTCCCTCGACCTGCTGCACGGCACCATTAACATGCCGGCACTGACGCTGAGTTACATGACCTGCACCGCGCAGTACGTCGCCAAGTACGGGGAGCGATTCCTGAAGGAAATACTTGGCAGGTACCGCAACAACGCGGCGTTTCGGTTTCTCCTCAGCGAGGATGTGCGCCACAGCGTCTTTCTGAAGCTCGTGGAGTCCTACCGGTTGATTTTAAATTACGACCCCGACGAGGTAGAGGACAGGCTAGAGCGCTACCGCTCCGCTCAGGAGATTCTCAACACGATATGCGAGGAAAAAGTGAAGTACGCCAAGGCCGCCATCGCCCGGCGCAAGGCCGCCCTGCTCACCGACGAAGAGCTTCGAGACAGGCTTGAGTGGAACGTGTTTACCGTCGTGCAGCAGTTTTCGTTGAGCGACTTGGGCCTAGACGGTCCAATGCCGCAGTCTGCCGCCGCCCACCGCCGCCAGCTCCCAGAGGTCGCCAACGGCGGCAGTACGTTAGAGGCGCCCACGCTTTCCACGGCGGCAGCAGCGGCAGCGCCGATGTCGGAGGTCCCTGCGGGCCCCCCACGAATGCTGCGCCCTCCGGAAGGCGTCATGGCGCCGCCGACGTTCACGCCCACCTTCATTAGCAGCAGTCTTGTGACCTCCACCGACCCCACCGCTCCGCTCGCCCGACGGAAGAGGGGCCACGACGAGGTGGACGCGCGGCACAGTCCCCGGGGCGGGGACTCCGCCAGTGCTCCCCGCGACAGGCGCGGCTATGAGGAGGCGCGGGGCAACGACCCCGCAAAACGAAGCCGGGTTTGACCGAAGTACGCGGCCGCGGCGAGAAAAGGCGGAGCGCAACGACAGAGGCCACTACTGAGCGGTAGGGAGGAGAGGAGGAGGCGGCTGTGTGGGAGGGAAACCAACAGCCACGAAGGACGGAGAGAGATTAAAACAACAGCAAAACAAGCACCTCAGGGACCAAGAGCATTGAAGGCCGAGGAACGTAAAAATTGTGGCGACGAAGGCGTGGAAGAAGAAAACAGCAACGCTTCAGAGAGTGGTAAGCTGAGCTTGACGTTTGTTTGGCTTCCTGACGCTCCTTGAATATATATTTATATAGATATATGTCTATGAATCTGCGGGCGTATTTGTATGTCGGAGAGAAGGCAGTTGCTTCTTCCACCTCCTGTTCTCGTGTTTTCTTGCTTTTTTAAAAAAATTTCTCTCGCAAAAGGGGTTTATTTCTGCAGTTCCGCTCACGATGGGCAAGTACGCCGTTGCCGTGATTGGCCCGGCGGGGAGCGGCAAGAGCACACTCTGCGCAGTCCTGGCAGAACACTACGCGACAAAAGGCCGCTCCACGCACATATGCAACTTTGACCCCGCCGCAGAGGACCTGCCGTACAACCCCGCCATCGACATCCGCGAGCTCATCTCGCTGGAGGACGCCATGGAGGGAAAAGGCCTCGGGCCGAACGGCGGGTTGGTGTTTTGCATGGAATACCTGCTTAGCCAGGGCGAGGTGTGGCTGTGCGACCAGCTCGGCGATCACGAGGAGGACTTTATCGTAGTTGACATGCCAGGGCAGCTGGAGGTGCTGTCGCACGTCCCCGCGGTGCCGGGGTTCGTGCGTCTCCTGCAGCGGGAGGGCTTCCACGTCGTCGTGCTTTTTCTCCTAGACGCGCTGGCGGCCACCGCGGACGCGGGGAAGTTTGTCTCCGGCTGCACCTTCGCGCTCTCGAGCATGGTGTGCTTCGACTGCCCGTTCATGAACGTCCTCACCAAGTGCGATCTGCTCCCACCGGCCGTCAGGGAGGAGGCGCTGGAGAGCTTCTGCGCCTGCGACTTTGACTGCCTCGACACGAAGCCGCTGCCGGAGCGCTGGCGCAGGCTCGTGCGCACGCTGGCTGGCCTCATCTTTGACTTCAACCTCGTTACTTTTCGCCCAATGGACATCACGGACGCGGCGTACGTGGGGAACCTCAGCCAGCTCGTGGACGAGGCGCTGCAGGTGGTCGATGACGCGGAGGTGAACGACCGGGACCTGCCAGACGACGTCAACGAGGCAGGGGAGGCGATGGACGACGGCATGGACTGGAGTCGCTACTGAAGAGGAGGGGTGGGGAACCAAAACAAGGCAACCAAAGAGAGCAGGAGGAGAAGGATCAAAGGAGGGTCCTTCCCTCTCACCACTACACGATGGGAAATAAAAAGTGTGGCGAGTTTTATGCGTGCGTGTGCGTGGGCCTGGTGAAAAGAAAGGCGATATTTGGAGTTCCTCAGTGAACCGTTTTATTATGCCTCTTTCTTTTTTTGTTTTCTCCTCTCACTCTTTCCCTCGGGGGTTTTGACTTCATTTGACGCATCTGCGTCGCACTGTGCTGGGGCCATTCGACACGTCTTCCCTCTTTTTTCGCCTCAGCCTCCTCCTTTTTCCTTTGCCCTTCCTTACTTTTTTTCCCTCCTTCTCTGTGTCTGCTGCGGCTCTCTGCTGTTCTGTGGTGTGCTCCACGTCGCGTCTATCTCCGTTATTGTTTGCTGTCTGTCTCTGTCTCTGTCTCTGTGTCTGTCTGTGTGTGTGTGTGTCTCTCTCTCTCTTTTCCTTTCTGCGTGTGCGGTGAGGGGAGGCGTTTCTTACTGCTGCTGCTGCTGCTGATTGGGGCGGGGGTGGGCATCAGGGGAAATCTAGCGCTGCTTGCCTGAGTGGAGCGGGAGGTGGCTTTACTGCGTGCGTAGGATGAACTCCGCCGTTTCTCGTCGGTGTGCGTTGGGCGTGAGGCTGCGGAATGCGGCGGTCGGGGCGCTGCAGCGCCGGGGCGTCGTCCTCGGCCGCCCCACGCCCCTGCTCTGGTGCAACCCCAGCGGCGAGCTGCCGCTCTCCATCCCGCAGCTGCGCGAGCAACTGCGGCGGCAGACGCAGGATGGGGCGCCGCGCATGCAAACGCTGGACACGGAGGGGCGACTGGTGCTCACGCTTGCCCGCAGCCCGCGCCCGGAGGACCGCGCCGAGGCGCTCGAGCACGGCGAGGCCCTCTGGCGCGAGCTGCAGGAGCCCTCCTCCCCGCTTCCCATGAGCTCGCGGACGGGAGTTCGCATGGCGCTCTGCACGTCAATGCGGCGCTGCGCGATGGTGTCGCGGCGGCGGGAGCTGGCGGACGTGTGGACGGAGCGGTTTGCGCAGCGGCACAACATCCGCCCAGAGGACTTCATGACGGGGCCGGGCCACAGGGAGGGCGAGGTGCTCGGGTGGCGGGCCGCCCGCCCCCGCGCAAAGCCAGGCACAGGCATCGACGAGGACGACCTCGCGGCGGACGCGGCGGAGGAGGAGGAGCAGCAGCAGCGGAGCGCCGAAAAGCGGCAGTCGCAGCAGAAGCGGGAGTTGTCGCCGCTGCAGCAGTTTCGCCGCGACGTCTACATGGACCATCCCATGATGCAGCGGGCCTTCAAGCGTGGCGTGGCGGGCCCAGGTCCGAGGTACACCGGCGACTAGCCGCCCAAGCGCCTTCAGTAGCATCTCTGTGTTTGATGTGCAGTTTTCCTTTTGTTGTCGTTGTTCTTGTTGCTGCGTCTGCGCGGGGCCGCTTTGGTTCGGCGTTGTGTGTTTCCCTGCGGTATTTGAGTGGGCGGTTCTCCGTTATTTTTATTATTATTATTATTATTAGTTTTTGCTTTTGTTTTGCGTCGTGCGTTGCAGGAAATAAAAGGGTAGGAAAAAGGCAGCAACGACAGCCAAAAGAACGACAAACAAGCAAAAAAAAGCGAACAAAAACAAGCAGCAATGCCTACCGACAGCGGCAGCCTGACGGTGAAGGGCCAGTTCAGTCAGCTGCTTCGCCGGTACGAGGAGGGAGTCCTGCGGGGCGTGCAGGCCGGGGACACCGACGCGCTCGCCCGCGCCCTCATCCCGCAGTTCGAGCTGCTCTGGCGGCAGATGGCGGCGATGGGCGTTGTGTCCTCCAACGAGCAGCTGGAGGAGCTCCCCACGAGCTCGCTGGAGCTGCTCTGGACCCCGTACCTCATCGCGGACCTCTACCAGCGTGTGCAGGGGCCCATGCCGACGCCCGCGGCAGCGTCTTCGTCGTCCTCGGCGACGGCGGCGGCGCCGGAGTCAAGAAACACGACGGGCATGACGCGCGAGGAGGCCCTCGCCGCCTCCAAGCGGTGGTACGAGGTGTTTTTCCAGTGGATGCTGGACTACGAGCTCGTGGATGAGGCGACGCTGGAGAAGTACCGCGGCTTGAGTCCAGACCAGCGCACGCAGCGGCTTGAGCTATCCCGCAAGCGGCGGGAGCTGGAGGAGGAGAGACAGCGCTGCGAAGAGCAGGTGCAGTACCTGACGGCCAAGCGGCGGCGCATGGAGTCACTGATGGAGGCGGACGGAGAGGCGTCGGGGGACACCAACGGCGACGAGGAGGAGGCGCGTCGCAATCGTGCGCTGGCGCGTCTGCGGTGGTCCATCTACGAGAGCTGTCAGCAGCTGCAGCTTTCGTCGCGGGAGCTGGAGATGCTGCAGGCGCTTTCGCCCGAGCGGCGCCAGGCCATTTCCACTGAACATCAAAAGACGATTGAGGCGGTGCAGCGTGGCGAGAAGTCGCTGGGGCGTCACACGTATACGATTCTCCCCGGCGGCCTCATCGCCCCCGGGGGGCCGATCTCCACCGCCCAGCCCCAGCCCGGCCGCCTCGCCGTGGGCGCCGTCGCCAACCAGCAGGACTTCAGACGGCGGGTGGTGGAGGAGTTGATGCTTGAGCGGAATACCCCTACGATGACGCTGCAGGAGTTTGCGGAGGCGGAGATGGCGGATGTGCAGCGGCGGATGGACGCCGACGCGGCGGCGCAGCGGCAGCAGGCGGAGGAGGACGAGCGACTAGGCCCAGAGGGTGTGGAGGAGCGCCAGCGCCAGCGCGACATCCAGCTGGCCGAGTGGAAGGAAGCCCACCCGCCCATTGGACAGACGGCGAAGGGGAACTACGCATGAGGCCGCGTCGCCCAACTCCACCTTTTTTTTCCCCCTTCTTTCTGTGGGTGTTGTTCTTGTCGTTGTTGATGCGCCTCTTGGGTGTGTTCCTGCTTTGGGTGGGGGAGGGTGTGCGTCATCCGTGTCTCATTTGTCTTTTTTTTTTATCTTTTATCTTGTCTTCTTTCGCCTTCCTGCGTCCCCGCGTCTACTGCGGGGGTGGAATGGGGGAAACTAATGCAGACTAATTTCCGCCCAACTTCTCTCTCTCTCTCTCTCTCTCACTCACTCCCCCCGCCTGCCTTTCACCTCTTTTTTTTCTTTGTGTTTTTCGTTGTGTGTGTGTGTGTGCCACTCACTCCCTCTGCCCCCCCTCACGCACGCTGGCTTATGCGCCCCACAGTCAAGCGCTGGCTTCCCTCCGTCTCTCCTTCTTTCTGTCTCCTGGGCGAAACTTCCACCCACCCACACACACACGCCCACTTTGACCGCGGCGGCAGCAGCAGCAGCAGCAGCAGTAGGGGCCAAAAGGAGGAAAAGCGGGGCGTGGGCGGGTGGGTCGCGTGCGAGAGACACGAGTCGGCCCTAAACCCGCGACTAACACCGCAGCGAGAAGCACTACGACTGCTGCCCGGTCGTGGGAGAAGGGGGGAGGGGAGAGGGGGCACGGATGAGCTGCCGTTGCACGGTGCAGCGGCTCGCGCCACGGGCGCCGCGGCGTCCACGGGTGCCGTGGCTGGCCCCCGCCCTGGCCTCGCACCAGCAGCTGGACGCTGGTATCGCCGCGCGTCACCAGGCGGATCGCAAGAACCTCAAGAAGTCTAAGCGTCCATTTGCCAACTACTTCCGCAACGAGTACCGTAGCTCCCCTGCGTACTCCCTCCCGGATGTGCGCACAGACGGCAGTGTCTCCTCCTACAGCGTTGTGCGACTCATGACCGACGCGCGGCGCACGTGGACGCCGTTCTGGGGGCGGGCCACCGGCGGCGTGAGGACGCGCCGGAAACGGCAAGACGTGTTGGAGCCACCGGCGCCGCAGTTTGGCGATGACGGCCTCGACCGCACCATTGAGCGTCTCTTAGAAATTCGCTTTCAGTGGGACCTCGGGGACGACATTTTGACCTCGAGCCACGTGCCGCCAAGCCTCCGCGCCGTGACGGAACACTGCCTCCCGTTCGCCCCGTGCGCTGCGCCCGAGTCGCCGTCGCTGGGCGACAAACACGGCGGGGCTGGTGGCTGCGTGGAGTTAGACGGGGAGCACATTCCCCTCTGTATCTTTCGGGCGCGAGGGCGGCGGAAGGGGCCGGCGGCGCCGCGGGGAAACTTGGGCTTCAGCGGCGTGGACACCGTCCCGTCTCTCGTTCTGGACGCCACCCGCGGCCCGCTCGTCTCCTCGCCCACCGAGGCGGCGCTGAGCCTGCGCTGGAAGGCGACGAATCGGGAGGCGGCGAGCGTGAGTGAGGTGCTGCGCCTGCAGCAAGGCGCCGGTCGCGTGCCTGTCATGGGGCTCCCGCCGCGGTCGCTGCTGCTGCTCCTGAAGGCGCTCGCCACGGCGGAGGTGGAGGAGCCGGCGCTCGGCGTTGCCCTTGCCATTGCGGCGGCGGAGCACTACAATGAGTACAGCCACACGGAGTGCCTCGAGCTGCTGCGGTGCCTGCGACGCGTCGCCTACGTGCGGGGATTAGCGCGTCTGCCGGAGATTTCCGCCTCCGCGCTCGCGCTCTACCGCGACGCCACACAGTGCCGGATGTTCTTCGCCGACTACGTGGCCGATGCGGCGCCGTTTCTGGTGGACAGGGTGTGGTCGCGGCTTCCCGAGCATGTGCGGCGGCTAACGCGGCGAAGGCTTTTTCTTGACCTCACCGATCTTCTTTCGCTCGCGGTGGAGCTTCACGGGTGGCGAATGCCAAATAATTTACCGAATCCCGCCAGCTCCGCCGTGTACGCCGCGAAGTACCTCTTCCTGCGCTACACGCTGATGCTAGACGAGGCCGCGATGGCGGAGTACGTGAGCTGCATGTCGGGGGCGGCACTCCCCTCTGCCTCGCCGCCAGCATCCTCGTCCGCGGCGGGGACGGCATCGTCGCTGGCGGCAACAAACCCGATAACGACAACAATAGAAGGAGAAGAGGGAGAAGAGGGGGCGTGCACGAAGCCGCTTGTGTTGTGGCTCTGCGTCTCGCTTCTTGTTCGTCTCACCGCGGAGGCGCTCGGAGATGTCCTGCGCCACGTGGAGGCCTCCATGCGGCAGCATGTGCAGTTGGCAAAGGAGTACGAGGCGGCCGCGGCGCAGGGCGACTCCAGGCTGCAGCGACTGAGGGCAGAGACGGACCTTCAGCGCTACCTCGACCGCATCGCCCTGTCCCGGCCCTGCCAGCGCGTGTATCAGTGCATAGGACGGCAAAAGCCGAGGAAGATGCGGCTCCGCCTCATTCCCCTTGAGGCCTTTCCTGAGATCTTTCGTCACACGCGGCTGCCCTTTGAGGCGGAGACCCGGCAGGCGCTCATTTCCACCGCTAGGCAGCGTGCCACTGCGCGGGCCGAGTCGCCCCTCGCCGCCGTTTTGGCGGGCTCAGCACTGGCGGAGAAGCACATTCAGCGGGCCTGCGGTGCGCTTGACTGGGCGACGATGATGTTGACGCACTGCGCCAGCGTCGTCAGGCGGGCCGCGGCCCCGGTGAAGCGGCTGCAGCGTGTAGGTGCGACTGCGCAGCCGAACTCCCCTGCGTCCCCGTCTGCGTTTGCGTTTGACGCCGCGGACAGCCGTTTCGGGTTGTGTGAGGCGCACGTGCGTGCGCGCGTGCAGGGCGACCTGGACTGCCTCTTCACGCACATTCCCTGGCAGGGTCTAGAGGAGCAGCTGCAGACGTTTTCGGAGGAGGAGGAGCGGCAGGCGCCCGCGACGACAAGACAGCCGGTGACGGCGGAGGTGACCTCGGCGCCGAGTGCGTACTTTTTAGATGACCTGCTCGCCGCCCCCGGCGACGACGGCGACGACGACTGCGGCGGCGGTGCGTCTGCGGGTCAAGCCACGGCCTGCACGAGCGCGGAGCGGGGGGTCCACAGGATGCTGGGGAGTTTGCAGGGCAGCGTCGAGCGGTTTCAGGTCGCCGTTGCCGACTTGGTCGACGCCCAAGAGGAGTACTTTTTGATGGTTTAGTGACCCGCGGGCCTGTGGGCGCCCCGGAGCAAAAACAACAGCAACAACAGCAGAAAAAAAAAGAGGGATACCGAAGGGGTGGGGCGCCTGCCTCTGTGCACGTGTTCACCGCGGCGCCGGTGTGGCCCCGTCTCTTTTTTTTGTTTTTGTTCTTGTTTTTCCTCCCCGTCACGTCTGCGGCTCGCGTCGGTGCTTCCCCGCATGCGCGCTTTTTTTTTCTTGGCCCCGTGCAAATACGGGACTCCCCACGTGTGTGTGTGTGTGCGTGCGTGTGGAAGGGGGCCGCTTCAACTCCCCATCGTTGTCTCTTCCCAGCACCATAGAGCATGACTTTTTTTTCTTTTTCTTTTAAATCTCCTCCTCTCGCTGCGTGCGTGCGTGTGTGTGTTTTTTTTTTGGAGGGGGCGGGGAAAAGCAACGAGGCGGCGACGCGCTGCAGACTTACTTCCCTCCCTCCCGTCGTTTGCCCCGCAAATGGTATTTGTGTGTGGCCCGAATTTGATTGGATCAAATTTCCACTTTTATTTTTATTTTGTATTAATTTCCCGCTACTCCGCCTCTCCCTCTCCTCCGCGCCACCTCCACATTTCACATCGTCGCCGGCTGCTTCCGCAGCCGCTGAAGCCAGCAACGGCAGAAGCAGAAAAAGAAAAGAAGGTAGAGAAGAGGGGAAAAGAGGGGCCGCTGCGAGCAAAGGGCTCCCACACATCCCACGTCTGTGCGTGCGTGCGTGCGTCACGCGGTAGCCGCGGCTGAGCAGGGGACGCAGCAGCGATGGACGCCAGCGACCGCCTGAAGGAGTCGCTGGTAGACACGGCGTGGGTGGGGCAGGCGCTGGAGCTCTTCGCGGATGAGCTGCGCGACTTTGAGCTGCTGGAGGAGGAGGAGGAGAAGGCGTTCCAGGCGGAGCTGCAGCGGGTTCCAGAGCCGCCGCCGGAGCCCACACCGACCCGCCCCGTGAGCAGCGAGCCGCGGGGGTCGGGCCACGAGCGGAAGGACGCGGCAAAGCACAAGAAGGCGACGGCCTCCCCGCCCAAGCGGGGGGCGGGGGAGAGGGCGGGTGGCTCGCCGGGGCCCGCTGGCGGCGGACACGCGAGGACGATGCGCGCCGCCCCGCACGCCGCCGAGGAGAGGAAGGCGGCCTTGACGGCGGCTAGAGAGCAGGAATTCTGGTACCGCGCCCTGAGTGAAATTAAGCAGCAGCTGCAGCGCTCATGCGAGGGGGCGGACGCGCTGCGGGGGCACGCGCGTCGACAGCAACGCTTCTTTAACGCCCGGAACATTGACGAGTACAGGATGGACGAGATTTTGCAGGGGGCGCCGGCAAGGGTCAGCAAGGGAAAGGTGCCCGCCGTAGACTTCTCCCTCGAGGATGCGCAGCCAAAGTACGCGGCCTCTGCCGAAGCCTCGGTGACGGCTCCCTCCTCCGACACGCTGGGCACGAACGCACGCAGCTCGGCAATGCGTTCCGCGGGCATGGACGCCGTGGGCGCCGACGGCGGGTTCACCATCGACGCCGCCGGCTTCGCGCGCGACCTCAACGCCTCGCTGGAGAGGGAGTACGGCTTCCACCCCGTCCTGGCGGCCCCAGAGGACAAGGCGGCCGCGGCCGCGCCGGATGCAGGCGGCGAGCTGAAGTGCAAGCTACTGACGCACGCGCCCGGGGATCTGATGGAGATCGGGGGCCCGTGGGGCGCCACGCTGCCGCCGGTGGGCTCGACAGCCGAAGCGGCGGGCGTGGCCCGCCCCCCGCCCTCCACGGGCAACGCCAACGTGGGAGTGGCGCTCCCCGCCATCATCCCCCACGACAACGGCGAAGTTCCTGCCCCGGTGCCTCTGCCGCCTTCTCCGTCTGCGACGACGGCCGCTGCCGCTTCTGCTGCTGTTGCAACAACGGCAGCAATGACAACCACAACGGCGATAAAAGTGTCGGGGGTAAAAAGGGCGGGTGCGGCGAGCCAGGCTCGTGCGTTGGCAACCGCAACTAAAAAGGTTCCTCGCCCTTTCGCGAAGATTGAGTGCTCTGCGGCAAACAACAGCGTGGAGCTGCAGACAAGGGTGGGGGTGGAGGTGAGCGCCACCGTTCGCTTCGTCAACCGCGGCCCCAATCTGCTGCGCGTGCGGATTCCTCCCTCCAGGCACGCTTGGATCACCTACGCAATAGTGTCCTCCTCTGTAGACCGACAAGCTTCTCCAAACTCGGCTTCGCCCCCGCTTCCGCCGCCGCCGCCGCAGTCGTCTTCGTCCTGCCACGTGGCCGCCTCTGCCGTTGCCCGCACCACCTTGAGCGAGCCTCTTGGGTGCGGCGGCTTCGTCGACGTACACATCACATTTGAGCCCCAAAGCGCAGCGGAGCCCGCGATCAGGGAGTTGCTGCGACTTGGGCATTGCCGGGAGCTGAACTCCCGCCGGGGCGAAGGGGCGCAGTGGCACTTTTTCGATGTCGAACTGCACTGTGAAACGATTTTGCCGCAATTTAGTCTGATTCCGGTCACGCAGCGGGAAGAGGCGGGGCCCGTCTCCTCGGCGGCGCCCTCTGCCACTGGGAAGCGGGGCCGCGGCCGCAAGGCCATTGAGGAAACTGTGACGAGGTATGAGTTTCCGTACACGTACGTCATGGATGCCTGCTCGCGAAGCTTTTACCTTGAGAACACCGGTTCGGTCGCCGTGGTCAAGCTCAGCAGCACTTCGCCATGTTTTACGGTGTCTCCGGCGCCGGAGACCGCCGTGCTTCTGCCGGGTGGAGGCCGCGTGGGCGTCACGGTGTGCTTCACCCCGATGACGGAGATGCGCTACGACGCCGAAGAGCTTCTTGTAGCGGTGCTGCAGGGCGAGGAGGGGCCGGTCGTGGCGGAACACCGGTTCGGGCTATGCGGGGAGGGCGTGTTGCCTCACATCGAGCTTGTGCGCGTCGGGAGCCTGAATATAGCCGCACCGCGGCCGGACGCGAGTGTGCTGCAGTACATGGTGCCTGGCACCGCGCCTGGCGTTGAAACCAATGTGTTGGTCACGGTCCGCAACCGCGGCCCTATCACTGTGCCGTACCACTGGGAGACGGACGCCGTTGGGGGCGGGAGTGGCTTGGGCGGGGAGGCGGCTTCGCTGCGCGTGACACCCGCCACCGGCGTCTTTCCCCCGCGCGAGGAGAGCTGCTTCACCGTCGCGCTGAAGCCCGCGGCGGCCCAGCCCTTGGCAGCCGTGCTGAATCTCTTTCTAGAGGGCCTGCCCGCCCTGCCTGTGGACGCGGCAGCCGCGTCGGATGCCTACTCGCGCGGTGGGCTTATCCCTGCCCTGCCGGCCCCCGACGCGCTGCAGGCGATGGCGGACCCCTACATCGTGTTCCAGCCCTGCACGCGCGAGCAGCCGGCGGACTGCGACGGTGTCTTTGCCACCGGCTTTTACCTCTTTGCCGACCCCGTCTTGCCCTCCCTCGTCCTCATCCCGGACCGCCTGGAGGAGGGGGTGGAGTGCCTCGTGCACTACAGCAACGTGCGGTGCATCACGATGCAGAACAACTCGCCGCGTTCGCTGCACTTCTGCTTTGACCCGAGCTGCGACGAATGCCCCCCCGCGGTGCTGCTCTCGACACGCGAGCGTGAGGCGCTGGACGTTGCCTTTGAGCCCCGAAAGGGATGCGTGCCGCCGCATGCCAGCGTCACGGTGCTGTTTCGGTTTACGCTGCGGGAGGTCGGCCACTACTTCGTTGACATTGACTGCTACATTCCAGAGCTGATGGAGCTCCTGACGCCCACAGCAGCCGCAGCCGTGGCGGAGGCGCCGGAAGTTCGGTGCTCGCATCAGCTGCACCTCAGCGTGACGGGCGTCGGCCCCTCCGTGCACCTGAGCACGGACTTCCTGGACTTTGGCCTCATTGAGCACGGAGGGGAGGCGGAGGCCTCCTTCACGGTGTCGAACGACAACCCGATCCCCGTCGTCTTCGACCTCCAGGACCCCTTGCTGCGGGAGCCGCCCCGCTTTGTTTTTCTTCCCCCCACCCACCGCCTCCCCGCGCGGGACTCGGTGGAGGTGACGGTTTACCGCCAGGCGGTGGAGTTGGGCGACTCGCAGACGTTCTTTGAGTTAATCGTGCGGGGCGGCGACACCCTGGCGATCGAAACCCGCGCCACCATTCAGGCGCCTTTGCTCGTCGTGCCGGAGACGGTGCTGGACTTTGGCGTCGTGCCGGAGGGGGCGTGGGTGGAGCAAAACCTTGTCGTGTCCAACGCCTCCGCCTTTGACATTTCCTACACCGTCGAGGCTGTTGTGCTGCCGGCCTGCATTCGACTCGCCGCCCCGCCGCCTGGAGCGTTGAGGGCGGGACGGCAAAACGTGCCCATTCCCATCCGCTGCGCCTTTGACTCCCAGTCAGGCGAGGGAGCGCGGGAGGCGTTGCTGGTCATCAAGAACGCCCGTGCGCGGCAGGAAACCCTCGTGGAGCTCCGCTGTGAGCGGGTGCAGCAGTTAACCGTTGCCCTCGACCTGATTCCGGTGCCAAAAGGGGCAAGTGGGCTCGGCTGCATGGCGTACACCCCGCCCATTCTCCCCTACACCATCCCGCCTCCACCAAAAATGGAGATCGACTGCTTCATCGAGGCACTACTGTGGAATCTTGTGGAGCTTTACGTGGTGGGGGCGCCGGATGCGCCGTGCTCGCCAGGGACAGTGACGGAGGTAACCGACGTCGTTGCCGTAGAGCGTCCACCCGCGGTGTTGCGCCCGTACTGCCCGCCCGTGGTGCTGAAGTCCTGCTTGCCGGACAAGGAGCCCGTGTGGTCGGAGTTGTTGGTGCTGCGCGTGCGCAACCAGACCGGTTGCTACGGCTCCTACACGGTGGAGGCGATGCGTCACCCGGTGAAGGCCTCTGTAGAGGGAGCTGCGGGAACCAGCACGCTGCGGGAACAGCTCGCCTTGACGGCGACGCGCCTCACTGGGGCAAGTCTGCCCATGCAGCGATCGGATACTACTGTGCGGGGCAGGCGGAAAAAGCGTCTGCCTCAACACGACTCTTCTTCTGCTGTTGCTGCTGCGGCTGGACGGACGGAGGGGCCTACCGCGAGGTCTTCGCTGGCGGCGGTGCAGCGTTCGTTCTGGTGCAAAGGCGTGGACGGCACGGAACAGATGGAGCGGGAGCGGCGCGCCGCTTTGGTTGACGCGCAGGAAATACTTCTAGATGGGCGTGGCGGCGCCACCATCTTTGGCAACGCGCCCTTTGGTCCACTGCATCCACACGACACGGTCGAGGTGCCGCTGACAATATTTGCCAACCTCCCAGGACGCTACGAGGAGACGCTGCAGGTGCGCTGCGGCGACTTGCCCTACACCCACATCCCACTCAACCTGGAGCTGAGTGGCAAGCCGGTGCTGCTGGACTCCAACACAGCAGGGCTCACGGTGCTGGGCGGCAGGGAACTGATGCTCATGCCGGCCGTCATCGCGGGCGTCGGGCGGTCGCGGCGCAGCATGCTTCTCCTCAATCGCGTTCCACGGGACTTGAACGTCTCGGTGAAGATCTTCCTCACCACCGCGACTTTTTCCGTCGTGGCCGTGGACGCGGAGGTGGCGGCGGCCGCCGTGACGCTGCAGCTTCAACCCGTCTCGGAGGAGGAGCAGCGGCGGGAGTCGGAGGGAAAAGGGAGGGTGGCGGCGGCGCCCGAGACCTTTTTCCTGCCCGCGCTGGGGTCACGGGAGGTCACCGTTGAGTACGCCCCGGATGCGACGTTTGTGGCCAAGGCGGGCGGGGCCGAGCGGGAGTGGCGCGGCGGCGTCATCATCACGGCGGAGGTCGCCGACAGCCCCTTCAACGATGGATTCATCATTGACGAGTTCTACCGCCTGCACGCCGCGCGGTACCCGGCGGGGCGCGTCTTCAAGAAGAAGCGGGTGCGGGAGGCGGAACCGGCGTGGATGCGCAGCATCGTGCGCCCGATCGTGATGCTGAAGCTGCAGCAGCCCCTCATCTCCCGCCCCGGGGTGGTGCGGAACAACGCGATTTTGCCCCCCACGCCGGGGGAACTGAAGGTGCTGCGGAGGCACTTCTCCGCGGGGAAGCCGCGCCTGTGCTGCGGCGCCGCCGCCGCCGCGGCGAGCGAGGAGCAACCTGCAAGTGTCTCAGCCAGCGAATCCCGCGGCCACGCAGGCACCACCGCCACGACAGAAGGAGAGGACGACGGGGACGCGGATGAGGAGGACGCGAGCCCTGACGAGGAGTCGCTGGCCTACCGCGATGAGGCGGTTGTTTCACGCCAGCCGCCGGAGGTTATTCTGGCAAACGAGGAGGAGCGCCAGGCCCTGTATACCTTTATGGAGCGGCGAAAGCTGGAGATGGCGGAGCAGAGCCGCCATTACTTTATCCCCATCGAGCTCGAGGTGCGCGCGCGCTGCGGGGCCGCACAGCTGGCCGTGGAGCCCTCCGGCGAGCTGGTTCGCTTCCCCCGGTACGTGGAGGGCGAGCCCTGCACGCAGGTGGTGCGGTTGACCAACCAGAGCTGTGCGGCGATGGAGTTTATTTTGGACCTCCCGTCCACCTCCCCCTTCCGCATCGCGGCGACGCGCTTCGTGTCGGGCAAAACCGAGGAAGATCCGGTGGAGGTGGACGATGAGGAGGCGGCGCGTGGGAGGCGGGCGGTGGCGGAGCTGAAGTGGAGCAGCTTCGAGGAGCGGCAAAAGGCGCAGCGGCTGCTGAAAGCCGCCAGGCGGAGGCAGTCGGAGGATATGGCCGTGACGGAGGTGCGAATGGCGAAGTTCTCCCTCCCCGGCGGCGACGGCGGTGGTGGTGGCGGTGCAGCGCGGGGCGAGGCGGCCGCCTTCGTGACGGTCACGAAGTACTTCCTGCACCCCGGCGACGCCCTGGAGGCGCAGGTGGAGTTCTGCCCCCCGGCGCGGGCGGAGGTGGACGCCCTGACGCGCGCCAACCGCGGCGTGGCGGCGACGCTGAGTGTCATGTACCTTCCCTCGGAGGGGGGCGTGCAGGGCCCCAGGCCGCACGACGCGGGCACGTCGCAGCCCGTCTGCCCGCCCCCCGTGCTGGAGCTGACGCAGTCGGTTCCCCTCGTCCTCAACTTCTCGTTGCCGTCGGTGCGCTGCAGCCCCGCGCGGCTCTGGTTTTACCCGGGGCAGCTGCGGCACGACGGGAGACCGCAGCCGTGCTACGCGCAGAAGATAAAGTTGCTGAGCTCCTACCCATCGGCGGTGACGTTTGCGATTGTCCCGTCGCGTCGAGCTTGCACGGAGGTCTTTCCCACCCTGACCGCCACCACAACTCCGGGCGACGGTGGTGGTAGTGGCGGCGGCGGCGCTGCTGTTGCTGTTGCGGGGTCTATTTCCTGCAAGCGGAGCACCGCGCGAGAGGCTGCGCCTCTGCTCACCCGCAGCCGCCAAATAAAGGAAATTACGCACTACTGGGGAGAAGTCGGCGACGGCAGCGGGGAGGATGAGGGCGAGAGTGGCGCGGACATGGATGGCCCCGCGGTTGCGCTGCAGGGAGCGGGGACGGATCAGGCGCAGGCGGGGCAGCAGCAGCAGCAGCAGCAGCGACGACGACGACAGCAGCAGCAGCAGCAAAGGGCGCAGCAGAAGGAAGAGCAACAACTTCTCGTGGTGACGGACCCCGAGCGCTTCACTATTACCCCCATGCAGGGCAGTATCCCTGGCGCCACACGCGGCGGCCAGCCTGGCGAGTGCGAGATCGCCGTGACTTTTAGGGAACAGATGAATGTCCGCTTTGAGGCGCTGTATGATGTGCTGATCAACGGCTGCCTGGTGGAGAATGGCGGCTTCAGCCTCTGCGGAGACAGTCGTGTGACGGAGATTTAGAGGGAAGGAATAACTCCAGGCGAAAGCGGCAATCGAAGGAGGAGGAGGTCGGCGCCGCTGCGCCGCCGTCCCCTTCACCACATGTACATATAATAGCGTTGCCGTTTTTTTTATTTTTGTGTGTGTGTGTGTATTTATTTTGGCGCTCTGTACGATATGCACAGCTGCTCATGCGGTCCGTCCGTAAAAAGGAAATGTACTCAACACGTCGTTTTTTTTTTCATTACTTTTTTACTTTTTGGTTTTACGCGCTGTTTCTCCCCTTTCATTCCTTCTGCTCCCTTCCCGGCAATGCCTTGGGCTGGTTCTTCCTGCTTTGTCTGCTGCGTGCGGGGCCCTGTTGGCACGGGAAATACTTCTCTTTGCGTTCCCACCATCGTTTGGTTTCTCTGCCTGCACGTAAATAAATGCGTGTGTTCCCGGGGGGCGAGGTTTTGGCAGGGAAGCGGTTCACTGACACAGAAGCGCACACTGGGTCTCTATCATCTACCTGGCGAGCGAGAGGTACGCGCCTGGCGGCACCCCGACAGTGTGTGGACATAGTAGCTCAGACACAGAGTGCGAAGGAGAGAAAGGAAGAGAAAGAGAGAGAGAGAGAGCGCAGGGTGGGTGCATTGCCTCTCTCGGGCTCGGCTGGGACTTTTATCAAGGCATGCAGCAGTGGCGCGCCGCGTCGCCGGCATCCTCCTCTTCCTTTACGAATACCGCGACGATGGCGGCGCGGGCGGCGCCGAGGGAGACGACGGGAGAGCTGCACCAGGAGTTCTCCTACTTTCTGATCGTCACCTCGGTGCGGGTGCGGGGGCTGCCGGAGGCGCTCGCCGACGCCCCGTTGGCCGTCGAGCTCGTGGCCGACAGCTGCTCGCTCCTGACCGACCCGCTCGTCCCGCTCCCGGCGGAGAAGGAAGACGCGCCGCAGCGCGACCACCTGCCCCCCGCGCGCCGCACGCTTGGCCTCGACCACCTCCGCATCGTCATCCCCATCGTTGCCGCCGGGAGGGGCGGGGGGCTCCGCGAGGCGGCCGGCAGGTGTGTCCCTCCCCTGCACGGCTGCGGCGGCGTCCACGTCGTGCTGCGCACCGCCCACGGCGCGGCTGTCCTTGGCGGCGCGTCGTGCTGTTGCCCCGGCGACTGGTTCCCGCTTGCCCCGTGCGGGGGGGAGGCGCAGGTGGGGTTTAAGGTCTACCGCCAGCGGGACAGCGGGGTGGCGCGGTCGCCGGGGTCCGGGCAGCTGTTTCTCGACGGCCAGGCGGAGTTTCTGGGCTCCGTCTCGCAGCGCGAGGCCGACCTCTCGGAGCGTGCGTCGGTGGCGACGGATGAGGGCACGGGCGCCCACCTGCCCACGACCCGGGCGGTGCTGAATGTTCGACAGGTGCACTCCGCCGGGGCCACGCCGAGGCAGCGCCTGGAGTGCGGCAAACGGAAGCCGCAGCCGCTAGACCTGGCCTCCGGCGACCCGGACTGCGCCGGCAAGACGAGCCGCTCCGCCGCGGGGTGCCTGCTCTCGGCGGGCCCGCACGTGTCCCTCATGGAGGACGCGGCCGACACCGGGCACACTTCAGCAAGCGGCGGGACGCAGAGTGGGAGGAGCGTGCGGATGCGCGAGTGCCAGCCGCGCAGCCTTGTCTTCTCGCACATCCAGGTGAGTGGGTTTCACCCCATTTCGTCCAACGGCAGCTGGCGGCTGGAGTTCACTTGGCCGCAGCACAAGGTGTCTCCAATGCGACGGACCGTGCAGATTCCGACAAACGTGGACGCGAATGGCGCGGTGGCGGTGCACGAGACGCTCTCCATTGACCTCCCGCTATTCATGCGTGGGGAGGTCCAAACCTGCATGCACGCGGTGTGGTTCGGCAGCAGCAGCAACGACCCCAAAACGCGCTTGTACCTGCAGGTGGAGTTTGACCCGCTTCTGGCGGTCGTGCGGGATCATGAGATGCGCTGGGAGGAGTGCCGCCGCCACTTCCCCATGCTGATGGAGGGGCTCCCTCTCACCGTGACGGAGCTCTGCGTGCGGCTCGTGGTGGGGTTAGAGTTCTACGAGCCCCAGCGCGATGGCCAGAACGGCCGCCCCACGAGCGCGTTTCCCCGACACCGCGGCGAGATGGCGTCCGCAGCAACCGCGGCAGCCGTGGGCGAGAGTGACGAGGAGGAGCGGGAGGTGAACGACCTGGAAGAGCAGGAGGAGCAGGAGGAGTTGACTAGAACGACGGCGGCGGCGGCGGCGGTGACCCCGCCCTCTGCCGACGCGGCAGTTCACACCGTCTGCCAGCCAGCGGGGCAGACGGGCGCTGGTCACGGTTTGCCTGCAGGTGGTAGGCCGGGCACCTCACCGGAGAGCGAGGCACACGCGGAGGCGCCGGCGCCGCCCCAACGAGAACAGCGGCAGCAGCGGGGTGGGACGCGGTCACTCTCGCCGCGGCGCCCCACGCCGGCGGCGTCCTTGTTTCCCGAGGTGGAGAGTCTAGTGCCGTGCTACAGCGACGAGCAGCGGGAGGAGGTGTTTCGTGCGTACGACACGGAGAACTGCGGTCGCATGACGCTCGAGCAACTTTTGCACTTCTGCCGGGCGCATGTGGCGTTGTACGACGGCGTGGATAATGACGTCAGCATCCTGCGTGGGCTGCGGCCGTATGTGCCGTGCGCGGCGCACCGGTGCCACACCAGCACGCACTTCTCCTCCCCCTCTTCCCGCCTCCTCCCCGCCGCAGTGGGCGCTGCGCGGCCGGAGCACGCGTCCGCCGCGGCGCTCGCGGAGTTCGCAGGGTGCGAGTCGGAGGGCATCACGTACGGCGTCTTTGAAATCATCGCCCTGCGACTCGCCAGCATGTAGGCCGCAGCCGCAGCCGCGGGCGCCGCTTGTCGCCTTCGACGCCTCCCCGCGCAGCGGGGGGAAAAAGTGATGTACCAAAAAATTAAAAAGCGAAAAGGACGAAGAAAAAAAAAAGAAAGACAAACAAAAAAAAAACAAGGACGGCATCAAAGGAAATAAAACTGCGTCTCTGCGTGTGCCGGACGGCCGCCCCCCATCCGCGGTTCACACGTGTGCCCGACGCATTGTTCCTCCTCTCTGTTTTGCTTCCTCCCTTATTTTTGCGCCCGCCGTGCCTCCTCCCCCCCTCCTCCCTTAGCGGAAACGGGAGC